GAGGGGATAAAAATGAGGAGCTGATGCCAGGAGCTTAAATGGAGAGCAAATGTTTTGAGAATGATGAGGGTAACGAATGTACAAATGTGCTTTACATAATTGATGTATGTATGGATTGTGATAAGAGTTTTATGAGCCCCAAATAAAATGATTAAACAAAAACAAAATGAAATCCCAACCAAAAAAATGTTTTTTTATTTTGCCCATGACATGAACTCAGACTTTCAATCATCTGATATAGCAATCAATTTGTATGCAGTTGGTTAAAATCAAAAGACAAAGCAAAACGAAAAAAATGAGAGAAATAAAAAAATAGGCTAGTGTGTCCATTTGCACACAGGATGAGTTTCTCAGGCTTTCCCAGTCTCTGTATGGGTAAGATTTCCTGCAGGATACACTTTGTAGTCATACAATGAGGTAGCCCTATTGTTCAGCCCTCCCGCCCAATTAATACATCACAATTTGTCCAATGGGTTTTGCGGGACATAAAATAAAATGTAATTGGACACTGGAGGCACTGCCACAGTCACCATATTCATGAGGCTTTCCTGCTGTACAGATTCTCGATTATCTTCTGATGACTCACTTCTGGCACCCGGCTTTCCCACAAGGACTACATTCCTACCTGTTCGGACCTCCCCGGTGTCAACTGATGTGTGCAAGGCCTCAGAAGGCATTTGCAAAGTCAGTACATTACCACGGCTTTTCTCCTGCACGCCACAAGTGGTTTGTGATAACACATGACTCCCTGGGATGGGAGCTCCCACTTTGACTGGAGCTACCTGGTTTTCCCTTTTGTGTTTTTCTTTATGCGATTCAAAATTAGACGCACAGGCAAAAACCTTTCCACACTCACTGCAGCAGAACGGTAACTGTCCTATGTGAAATCCTTGATGTAAAATGAGCTCTTCCTTTGTTTGGAAGACTTTCTCACACTCGCTACATTGAGAATATTTCTCCTTGTGAATTTTCTGATGTTGAATGAGACTCGACTTCTGGGTATAAGATTTCCCACATTCACTGCACGAGAAGGGCTTCTTCCCTGTGTGAAATCTCTGATGTGCTATGAGGCATGACTTCTGGCTGAAAGCTTTGCCGCACTCACCACACACATAGGGTTTTTCTCCAGTATGCGTTCGTAGATGAATTTTGAGATTTCCTTTTTGGATGAAGCCTTTTCCACATTCACTACACACATAGGGTTTCTCTCCAGTATGAGTTCGCTGATGAATGGTGAGTTCATTCTTCCTGGCGAAGGCTTTTCCACATTCACCGCATAAATAGGGTTTCTCTCCACTGTGAGTTTGCTGATGGATAACGAGTGGTCTCTTCCATAAGAAGCCCTTTCCACAGTAACTGCAAATATGAGGTTTCTCTCCACTGTGAATTCTCTGATGAATAGTAAGGTCACTGTTCCTGATGAAGCCTTTTCCACATTCACTGCATATATAGGGTTTCTCAGTCATATGAGTTTTTTTCTGATGTTCCCTGAGGTGATGTTTATGAAGATACGCTTTACCACAGGCCAAGCATTTATGTGGCTTTTGTCCTTCGTGCACTGTCTGGTAATGTTCAGTGAGTTTGAATTTTTTAGAGAAAAGGTCCCCACACAGACTGCAACTATAGGTTTTATCTAGCTTAGGAATGATCGGATGATCAATTAGAAAAGACTCCCGGGTGAAGGTTGTCCCACATTTACTATAAGCATATGCTTTCTCTATGTTGTTAGTGTTCGGATGCGTAATGCATCGGGACTTAATGCTGTTGGGATTTTGACAATCAGGGGATTTGATTTCAGTACAAGAGTTCTTTGTTTTGTTGCTTCTGCTCCGGTTTAATGCCACTACAGTTACATTAGATTTAACAGCTTTCTCACGCAAGTCAAATACCCCGTGATTTTTCGTAAAAGGAAAGTGATTTCTGTGCTGATGAACAACATTTCCCAAAGTATTACAGTCATAGCATGGTTCTATTCTTTCGTTTTGTGAGTATCCAAGCAAATGACCATCCACTTTCTGGATTTCTAGAAAAGAAGAGAACAATCACCTTAATTTGCAACAGAGCCATTAAACATGCATTGGTGTGACAGAGCTTCAGCAACCACCCCTCTTGTATGAGGGGACATAAAGTACCATGTTCAGTATTTCTTGCACACTGGTAAAAATGCAATATTGTAAACAATCCGAATGGCAAAACCAGTTAGTGTACAGACAAAGTTAGATCATACATAATGAATGAATGCAGATTTGGCAAATACTTAAATAGGCCTATAAAAATATGCAAGGAATGTAAATACATGCAAGTCATGGAGACCCATAGACCACAGAGGTTGTAACCGGCTGCTTAATCCCAACTGTTACAGGGCAGATTTATTCATTCTGTCAATCCTCACTGAAAGACAACGATACAAAAAGCAAACATGGAAATGTGAAAAATGTAGAATGTTCCACCTGGGGGAAGACAATTTTGACAGGTGCGTAGTAATGGTGTTGGCGATATGCAAGCACATCCTTTATTTTTGTGGAGCCTACATGCTAGTCTTCACCCCTTGTCTCTGTGCCATCCTGTGGTGATTTGCATGTAGCTCAGGCACCGGTATTTCAAACCCTAGCAGGTCCACCCATTTTGGACAGGTGCCCGTAGCACTCTCCGACTGACTAGAGAGGACTGGTGACCTGCTTCGGGAAAAAAACGGGCCAATGAAACCCTGTAAGTGGCAGCAGTCCATTGGCTGACACGGGACTGGAGGAGGAGCCCTTCAGGTGTAACGGCGCTGAAAAAAGACAGGAAGTACTACCTCCTCAAAGTACAGTCAACTGTAATGATGCAGATGTCGCGAAGCTGTGGAGACCATCATTTGATGATGTGATATGACTCAAAATGAGAAGGGTGGTAAACTGAGGACTTGGTAGAGTGCATTTGACCTTATTTCTACACTTGCAACCACAGGCACAATAACCCAGACCTCTTTTAAGAAAGATCTTCATTGCTCTGAGATAGAAATCTTCTCAAATACACATTCTCCAGACTAAATAATGTGCGCCCCCGCATTAGGACCCCATTGAGAGCAGTCTTAAAGGAGCTACCATAATAGATGAATTTATGTGTCTGGCTTCTTCACTATGCCTGGAGGTCATCTGTACATAAGAGCAATCAGGTTCTATAGCCAACCCACCGTGAAATATAGCAAACTCTATTCTGACATCTCTTGCTGATACTGATCAGAGATTACTACTCCAGGGGAGAGCTAGGGGGGAAGAAGGGGGGTTCGAGGTCAACTAGGGCCAGATCACGACACTGACTCACCTCATTGCTGGTTATTATGCTACCCACTTATGATATGATCTATTGATATGTAATATGTGAGCTGTATGACGTGCATGCCTCATGAAAGGTCTGTCAGCCCCGTTACATAGACCCATTGGAAGATATATTCACGCTTTCAGTCCTGACGTGGGACGAGGAGCCCCTGTGCTCCACTCTCTGTCTTTTAATATTTTCCACAGTTGCAAAGTTGCTCCTAAAAACCTATGTGAGAGTTGGGAGCCCCCGTACCCTAACAGAGAAGAGATAGAGGCAAACAGTTATTAACAAGTGAAAGCGGGGAATGTAAGACGTATTATCAAGAAAAATTAGAAGTTATCAGAAATGAAATGGAATGTTTGAACATTGATATCATAGTCAAAATGAATTTTAATCGATTGGGATTGGTCGTATTGAACTGAATAATCATATGGTCTACAAGGCTGAGACTGACAAAAATCAAGAGCTATGATGTCCTATTCATCATCAAAAAGGACACTGCAAAATCTATTTTAAAGAATAATACTACCAATGGTAGGATAATATCTATATAAACACAAACAATACTAGTTATTTCTAGTATTATTTAAATTTTTGCACCACTTGTTAAAAACAAACATGAAGAAATTGAAAATTTCTCCTTTTCAGTCTAAAATTGACCAATAATACAATCAGGATGCCTTGATAATTGTTGCCATTTGGAAAGCAAAAGTTGGCAACAGAATCAGTAGTTCAAAAATATGGCCTACGTGACAGATAAGACATCATGTCAACCCCATTAATGAATTCATAGCAAATGCCCCTTTACAAAACAACACAAACGGCAACTACACATAGGACCCTTCTGAATGGAATAAGCAGAAATCAAGTCAACCACATCTGTGGAAAGAGATCATGGAAAGGCCAATATCATTAGACAAAACAAGGTCAGGGGCTGACTGTGGAACAGACCATCAATTGCTCAAATGCACGGTAAAGCTGAAGCTGAAGCAAACTGAAAGTCCACGAGAGCTGAAATACGACCTTGAGGATAGTTCACTTGAGTTTATGAGATTATCTCAAGAATAAACTTAAGACACTGACCACTAATGACTGAAGACCAGATGAGTTGTACGATGACATCAAGGGCACGGTACTTGAAGAAACTAAAAGGGCATTAAAAAGTCATACAGTAAGAAAGAGAGAGGGACATGGATGTAAGAGACGTTGAAATGAACCTTGTTCTTGAATACCGGATAGCTGCAGTGAGAGGAGCAATGAGGAGTGAAAGAGCTGATAAGAAGATGTCATTTCAAAGGCAGTGTGAGAAGACAAAGCCAGTCATGATGAAATGTGCGAAGCCCTGGTGTTACAAAAGCAAAGGGAAGAGCAGGTTTCCATCTGGCTCCCCGTATTTCAAGATGAAGAAATCCAACTCCTGAGTTCCAATATTGGAGGATTCCATGGGCAAAACAGTGAACAACACAGGAAGCATCAAATGAAAATGGAAGGAACACACAAAGTCACTGCAAAAAGGAGCCGGCTTATACTCAGGCGTTTTAAGAGCTGGCATAGAACTTGTGGCACTGAATGGCGAACTTCAGAGGACACTGAGTGCACTGGTGAAAAAAAGGCTCCAGGAACTGAGTGATTCAACAAGACATTTCAACTATCTCTAAGCCAAGCGGGTTGGGAGAACACTACCTGGCCAACTGACTGGGAAGAGATCCATTAGGCTACATTCCACAGAAAGACAATCTAACACAAATGCAGAAATTGCCCAACAATCTCATCAATATCACATGCTGATAAAATTGTGCAAATGAGAATTTTAAAGCGGTAGCAGCAGTATCTCAACAGGTACTGTCTAAATTCAAGCCAGGTTCACAATAAGATGTTGACGAAGGGCTGTCACTGCTGACATCAAATGGGTTTTGGCTGAAAGCAAAGAATACAGGAATATGTTTACCTGTGTTCCAATGACTATGCATGTAACCATGTAGAGCAATGATTCTCAACCGTCCTCATGCCGTGACCCTTTCATACAGTTCTTCATGTTGTGGTGACCCCCAACCATAAATTTATTTTTGTTGCTACTTAATAACTGTCATTTTGCTACTGTTATGAATTGGGCAACCCCTGTGAAAGGGTCCTTCGACCCAAGGGGGTCGAGACCCACAGGTTGAGAACCACTGATGTAGATCATGGCAATTTATGGACCGCATTGACAATAGGAATTCTAGAACATTTCATTACACTCATGAGGTACCTGTACATTCACTAAGCGACAGTCATTTACACAAGATAAAGGGAAACAGCACATTTCAAAATCAAGGAAGGCGTGTGTCAGTTATATCTTGTAAAAAAAGTCAAAGCAGAAGCATCTGACCTCTTCGAAAATGTGTGAGGCCTTCTCCCATTCTAATGTGACTCCCATAGCCATTCCTTCTTACCATTTTTTGCTCACTGACCTGAAAAAATTCCACTGTGACCTTTTTCTAACATAGACCATGGCCGCTCTCTTGGTTCCAACCTAGAGGATGCATCATGCTTGCTAACATGATAACTTGTGTGTGAGAATTATAGAATGTTGGTGGGGTAGTTACTTTATTGAGCCAACGTGGCCGATAAACACATGTGGGGTTAATTGAAGGGCAGAGAGATAAATGGCTCAGTGAGCCTCGCCTTTCTGATTCTCGGGTCACTTGCTTTCTGATGGTCAGACCAGGGTGCAGTTGCCTTAACCAGTTCCCTGCGTCAGCTGGCAAGACTCACTTCTTGCAAGACATCTCTGAGAAGCCAAATGGACCTACCCGGATGCAGCCCTGGGTGCTGGAGCAGCCGTGTGGAGACCCCTGCCAGCGCTGAGATGTTTACACATTCACTGATTCGGCTTTTCTCCTGCAGTCGGCATCATTGCGTGTATTTTGTGAGATGGAGAAATTTGTGAATTGGGGTCAGACATATGGGTTAATGTTGGACTTGTGGGCTTGGGCAGCACTGGGTTGGGATGTTTTCTTGATGGGCACTTACGCTTTATATAAATCTCTCTCTTATACATGAGTTCTGTGGATTTGTTTCTCTAAAGTACCTAGACTAATACAGTTGGACACACCAATTGCCCTTGGGTTTGAGAAGACTTTTCCTTCCAAAAGCTCACAGTAAAGGGTTTTCTATCAAGATTGGAAAGACGATACCCACTCATCTGGGGCCTGAGAGTGGAATGAGAATATGCTACTTGGACAGCACCAAGACCACTCCGAAGATTAGGGCACCTGAGAAAGGAAAAGTCATGACAGGAGAGCTCTCCTCACCTATGGACACTAGGTTGTTATAGTTCTCCAACATCACATCCTGATAGAGGGTCTTCTGAGCAGGGTTCAGGAGCTGCCACTCCTCCCAGGTGAACTCTATGGACACGTCGCTGAACGTCAGTGATTCCTGTAATAAGAAGATTCTATTCAATGAAGGCGTTCCCATTTGATGACACGAAAGACCGACAAAGGAAGGTGTTCTGCTCAGATCCTCCACGTAGGCTGCATCGATACACCGAGGCTTGTTTGTTTTAAAACATATTAACAAATTTTTTTGCATTAGGGTACTCCACAGTCCGTCCACACACGACATTAGAACTCTCTCTATAATGTGTACCAGTGACATTGCCGTAATGAGGTAGAAACAGCTCACGTTCAAATATAAGTACACATATACAACAAAAACATGTGTGTATACATGAATAGAGAAGTGAACAGTCATTGTGAAATGGAATTAGGAATCCTAGCAGTATCAGCATTTTCAGAGCCTCTCTTACATCCATGAAGGTAACTCTCAGGATCAATGCGGGGCTGATCCCTATGAGGTCTATGTCAGACAGTTATAGAGAGATCATCAGGTATAGACAGTTGTACAGATGGATACTTGACCCATGGATTTGGGACTCACCAGCTTCCACATCCTGAAGAGTTACTGCCTCTTCAGTTTTGTGAGACATTGCAGAGAATAAGGGACTCTCTTCAACCACTACCTCAAAAGGACCAGCCAACTGCTGGTCTTTCAAAATGTACTTAATTCAAGCAACTATGCAGATAAAATGTCTGTGGCCTATAGACAGGAGATCGGTCAGTTTACAGGCCGGCTGGAGTGGCCATCCACTGAAACTGTTCTGGGTTGTAAATAAAAGCAATAAACTCCAGAGACCTGCCAGTCACAAAGAAGCAAGGAGAGAAGCAGTAGGAAGAACCTGAAGGGAGACAGAAAAGAAACAGGGAGAAAAGGCACTTCCTAAATGAGCCGTCTGATCGTTATATAATCGTTTGTCAATTTGAGAGGCGTATGAGTGAAGGGGTGGAGTCTAGCCTGTCAAGCAGGCCATAGCCAATGAGGTCTCTGTGTGGACATGGCCTTCTCCTGAGGATTCTGGGAACTCTTATATTCCTCCTTGGAGGCAGAGGACACTCTCTCTCTGCTGACTCCTTGGGAGACATTGCAGCTGGCAAGACACATGGAACTACGGTAGTGCCCTGAGCTGGAGGAGCCATGTAGAGACCCCTGCCAGATGTTTACAATGCCACTAGATCCACGAGACTTCCCACCCACTGGCCTGTGATCTTCCTGCATTTGGCATCATTGCATGTGTTTCATGAGTCTGAAGAGGACGTTATAGATTGGTATTGGACATATGGGCTAATACCAGACTTAGGGACTTGATCTGGACTGGGCTGGGCTGTTTTCTCAATATTCAATTGCTCTTGTATATAAAGCTCTTTCTTATATACATATGAGTGTCTCTCTGAATTTGTTTCTCTCGTCTACCTGGACGAACACAAGTGGCAATATGGGTTAAGTGCTGTACCACTGAACATAGTGACAGGTGCACAAGGGACACAGTGGCGGAGGCTATGGTGAGCGGTCCAGAAAGGGCCCTTCAGCCAAGCTGGTCTGACAGACAGGCAGAGTCCAGAGGAGGCTGTCCTGAAGGTGCTGAGGGAAGCCCATCCTGAGGGAACAGTGAGAGAAGCCTGTCTTCAGGGGGCAAAACATCCAAAAAGGGACAGAGAGCTGGCCTGCGCTGACGAAGAGAGACTTTGCCTACAGGTTTCCTGATCCCAACTTGTGTCCACAGTTACTTCCCTAAGAAACTGCATAACGGGGACTCTGGACTATTGAGTTCTGTGTGGTCACAACAACAAATTACTGAACGGAGCAGAGAAATAAGAGGGCTATGGGAGGGACAGCTGAGGGGGGGGGTGTCAGAAAACTATGGAAGGGTGCAGGTAAGTGTCACCGCTACGTCACAGGAATCCAGCTTGACATTGACGGTGATTCACTCTGCAACCCCTGTTGCTGGAGAAGGTTGGAAGCTGCCAGCCATTTTTAAACTACTATTCAAGACTAGTCCCTTTCACCTGCATCGGTGAGACAACTGGTGGTCAGGATCTTCTGTAACACGTCAAGGGAAGAAACACTAAAGAAACGTATTGTGACAAAGAATACCGAAGTCCTCCAAAGAAATGCTTTCCTTTCTCCTTAAAAACGAGCCATAGCTTTTCATTAGAATGGTTCTCTTAAGTTGGTCATGGTATTATTAATCACGAGTTGAAAGCTAATGCAGCCCCAAAGAATCCCTAGTGACATAGTATGGGTCAATGTCAATAACTTTGTGTTAATCCCATGTTGGTCGATGTATGCCTGATCTTCTGTAGCCTGACACTGGAGTAAGGGTCAGACTTTATTTCTCTCCAGTTTCTACCTTTCCAGTGACACGAACTGGCTTTCCACAGCCTTCTTTAAACCCATTAGGAAACACAGAAGAGCATAAAACAAGTCAAAAGTCACCTGAGCATTGATCATTTTCTTTGGTTTTCAGGATCGAGCCGGCAACGGGGATGTTCTGTCTTTGTGTTTTCTTGGTACGTTCTAATTTCTGTCCCAAAATCTCAGTCTCTCATGCAGGGCATGCGCCAGAAATGAAAATGCCCAAACTAAATGCCTCTTCTTGACTCCTCCAGGTGATTCTCTTGCTGCGGGGATGCAAAACCTGTAGGCTGATGGGAGTATACAATGTGAGTGATATTATCACCTGTAAGTCCGCACGCTGCCACTGTGCCTGTCCCTCTTCTTAAGACAAAGTCCCCAACAGGGTTGACTGTCCCTTTCTTTGGTGACTCAGAACATACTTATACTGTGAAGCAATAAAACCCAAGATTTAGAATTTATGGAGATGTGGGTAAAAGATGACTTTGTTAATAAAGGGAAATTGGACAATCAGACCCATGTGCAAGAAAAGAAAGGGGGGGAGAACTCTAGTTCACAACATAAAGAACTATGCACTCCCGGTAAGGTGTGACTCTTTTTTTTTTAAGGTGTGAACGACAAATCTAGGAACCTGGAAGATGATACGTTAACTAAAGGGTCTAGAAACATTTTAAATGGGCTAAATTAAGCACTAACTCTGAAAAACAGAAGATTATCTTGCTGGAGGATCTGTAAAGTAATAGAATCACTTTAGCAAACACTTAAAAACTCACCATCATTGGATATATATAGCATCCAACCCACGAAGGGGACGAATAACAGACATGTGGGTGAAGGGAGACAACAGACAGTGTAAGATACGAAATAATAATAACAATATATAGTTGATCAAGGATTCACGAGGGTGGGAGGATGGAGAAAAAAGAGGAGCTGGTACCAAGGGCTCAAGTAGAAAATGGTTTGGAAATGATGATGGCGACCTATGTACAAACATGCTCGATACAACTGATGTATGGAATGCTGTAAGAGCCCCCAGTAAAATGATTGCAAAGAAAAAAATAACTCGCCATCGAGCACAGTTTGACATAGAGAGACCTCATAGGATACAGTGCTGGCGAAGCATAACAAAAGCACCATGGACTGCTAAAAGGGCAGACCCATCTCTCTTGGAAGAAGTACGGCCAGAGTGCTCCTTAGAGGCAAGGATGCCAAGACGTGGTCTTACATACTTAGGAAGTGTTGTCGGGAGAGGCCAATCCCTGGAGAAGGACACCAGGCTTGGTAAAGTGGAGGGGCAATGGAAAAGCCGAAGGCCCTCAACAAGATGGGTGGCCACAGGGGCTGTACCCATGGGCTCAGCCAGAGGAACAATTGTCAGGGTGGCACAGGGCAGGGTGGGCAGTGCTTTGTTCTGCTGTGCACGGGGTCGCTGTGTCTCAGGACTGACTGGATGTCGCACAACAACAACAACGTAGGACAGAGTAGAAAGGCAGCCAACAGCCCAATGGATAACACTTTGCAACACCAGGGCTCCTCGGGAAACACTTAGGTGTCATCTATGGGTTCGAAAACTGTATATACATTTTAAAACAATATCATAAGAAGTACATATCCCCCACCCCAAGCGCACATTTGAACCCCACAAAAATACAATGTTTT